GAAACTGATCAAAGATGGCCTGATCATCCGCAAGCCTGTGACTGTCCATTCTCGGGCTCGATGCCGAAAAAATACCTTAGCCCGCAGGAAGGGCCGGCATATGGGCATCGGTAAAGCGAAAGGGGTACTGCTAATGCTCGAATGCCCGAGAAGGTCACCTGGATGAGGCGGATGAGGATTTTGCGCCGGCTGCTCAGAAGATACCGAGAGTCTAAGAAGATTGATCGCCACATGTATCACAGCCTGTGCCTGAAAGTAAAGGGGAATGTGTTCAAAAACAAGCGAATTCTTATGGAACACATTCACAAGCTGAAGGCAGATAAAGCCCGCAAGAAGCTCCTGGCTGACCAGGCTGAGGCCCGTAGATCTAAGACCAAGGAGGCACGCAAACGACGTGAGGAGCGACTCCAGGCCAAGAAAGAAGAAATCATCAAGACTGTCTAAAGAGGAAGAGACCAAGAAATGAAGCTCCTCTCCTCTCTGTGCATAGTGGCCTTGGCAGTTATATATAGATCATTCAATAAAACAAACCTTTATCTGCCTGCTTAAAAAAAAACAAAAAAAAAAAAACCCCAGAAAACAAAAAACAGGACTTAGATGGGCAGTATCCTCTCGTGTGATTAATTGCCTCTGAAAACCTGCCACAAGTTCAGCTATGGGTCTGTTCAGACTCCATAGAACTCAGTAACAACATGTACATGTTAGGGAGCTCATGATTAGTGGCCACATATTGGTGACCTAGTGGCAAGAAGCTGAGCTGCAATTCTGAAGACATGTGATTTGAGTCAGTGAGCTGCTCCATGGGAGAAAGATGGGTGTTCTCCTCCTGTACGATTAACTGCTCCTGAATAATCCACCAGAGGGTCAACTATTAGGCAGGTCCTACTCATTGGCACACAACAACAATGTCCATATTATATATAGAAAGACCAATGATGAGATATTTACATTCACATGCATTGGCAATAACGTAACCTCTGGATGTAATTGTTGTGGTTGTTGTTGTTGAGTACCGTTGAGTTGAAATCAACTCATAGCTGACCCTCCTGTGGGTTTTCTCAGAGGCTATAAGTCACACAGGATGAGATTGTCCATCTTTTTCAAGGAGCAGCTAGCGGAATCAAACTGTGTATCTTTGATCTGGCAACACAGTTTTTTACCATTAAGCCTCTAGAACACCCTGGGGTGTAATAGACATTGTTGTAAGAAACTTAAAACTTTATTCATGGCTTATCCTCCATATTTCCTTTTGGCTGCAAGGTCTCTCCCTTCAGGGATGTAAATCTATCATTATTATTTTACCTCAGAACACTACACTTTAATCATGTAACAATTATTTATTAAAATGTCTGTACTATATAAAGGTGCTTATTAATAAACATAAACTTATAAAGTTATAGGTACACTTATAAAGTTATAAGTAAACATAGTAGTAAACAAAGTGCCATCTTTCAGCAAATAACTTCAGTGTCTTAAGTGAGTTAAGTTACTTTTTAATTACTCTTTAAAACCTGAGAAATTTCCTTTTCTATTTTAATCCCTCTCTCGATGACATCATTTATTATGTACTGGAAATCAATTTAGGAAATCATGTTAGTCCACTAAGCACTTCAGATAAGTTGATTCCATAAGCATTCCAAGATTATCATAAAGAATTGCTTTCATAGACCATAAACAGAAAAAAAAATAGCAGAATATGACCCTTGAAGTAGTTTACAGTTTTACAGCTCCTCCCACTGCAGCACATAAGTCACTCAGTCACAGTTAACTTTGGGTTGTTGCTCACAGATTGAAAGCAAAACAGTCATCACCTACTTCCCAGGGACTGTGGTGCCACTTGCATGTGTGTTTCTAAATCAATGATGAGGGTATCAGAACCCATACTGGACATGGAGATGGCAAATTATAGTGAAGTTCTGGACCCAACTTATACAACTTTGGAATTTGATACAATGCAGATTCTATATAATTCAAACGGTGAGTTCTCATGTACTTATAGATAAAAAGAAAAGTATGTAAGGGGGAAAGTAGCACATAGCTTTCTAAAGTGGAATCTCAGTGCTTTTTTGCTAGAAAATCTAGGCTTTGCTTTTACAGGCCAGAAATCTGAGCTTTAGCTCCTCATCTTTAAATTGGAATTCATAATGCTATGGCTCTTAAATATTTGAGATAGAAAAAGGCTAGTTATATGAAATAAAGTACAAATAGAATTCTGTCAGGAGAGGTCAAAAGAGTAGTGTCAGCAGTTATTTTATTTGCTGTAAATTGTAATAATAAGTATTTTGGTAGTTTAGATATGAAAATGTATTTCCTATGTAATATTTAAAATGAAATGTGGAGCAAAGTTTCTATATAGCACAAAGGAGTATTATCGATTGTCTCTTTTCATTATTATAGTTCTCAATTGCTGCTGACGAGAAGCCAAATTTAAATTCACTATCACGTTTTTACATTGAACATAAAAAAGAAGGGAAATAAAGGTTATGTTATAAGCTGTCTTGACAGGCTAATGTTTAGCTCACAAGGTTCTTGCTATTTATCTACTGTAACATTTTAACTTTAAAGAAGACATGAATTATTTGCTGAGTACCCCTTTCTTTATATAATAATGTCGTTTATTTTGACGTGGAATTTATGGTTTGTATCCAAGTAAAATACATTGCCCATGGCAAGGTATAATTATTAGAACTGTTTATATATATATATATATATATATATATATATATATATATATTCATTATAAAATTTGACAAAAGTGTGTATGTATGTATGTATCTAGTTTGGAATTGAGAAAGCATATTGTACTTAAGCTTAATATTAATATTTTAATACACTGAATGGTTGTATAACTGGTGCTCTCAATGAGTTACAATAAATAGAACAATGCATTAATAAATAAAAAAATAAAATTATAAAGGACTTTGATAATTTATTAAAACAAAAATACTGAAATTTTAGAAAATTAAGGTGGATTTTCCTCTAAGAGTTGGAGTTCAAATTTTAAGAAGTTGCTATTTTATTCCTCATATTTATATTTGTCTAGAGATATTTTAGTATTTATTTTACTATAGTCATGACTTTTAAAATGTTGTAGATTAATGTTATAGATTAAAACCAACTACTTTATGAGTATTTCTAAAGTGCTGTCTAATGAGTGATTCCTTTGTTTGGGTTGTTAATAATGTATGCATATGACATTACCTTTGATGCAAGAGTTGAATTTCCTTTTAATATCTTCATATAATTTCCCAACATACAATCAATCCTCAACACTTCTAATTACTGTATTTCTAGTAGTTATTTTAGTATACCAAAAGAAAAATCCCTGACCTTGTGTTATTTTTTTTTATGATTTGTCTTAAGTGCATTATCAGTGAAGGTTTTTTTTAAATTTTATGACATTATATGGCAATATTTGTCTAATCAGTAGTATTAGTAAGTTGAATGCAATTGGGACATGATTGCCTTCAATTTTATCATTTTATTATAGGTAGAAAAGTGAATTGTTATTATGTTTTTGTCATTATGCAATTTTGTGTTTAAATTTCATATTACATTATCATATTCAGTATCTTTTGGTTTCATAACTATTTTAAAGATGAGACATCAATATTGACTACTTTAAAAACTACTTATTTAGTATAAATACACATTAGTTGTTGCTGTTATGTGCCATCAAGTCAGAACCAACTTGTAGCTAAACCTCCAGGGAGTTTTCAGAAACAGAAATATCTCACTGAATTTGATTTCCCTTTTCCTCCCGAAGAGCAGATGGTGGATTCGAACCATGTGCCTTTGGATTGGCAGTGTAGCTCCTTTACCACTAGGCTCCCGGAGGTCTCTATAAATATAAATACTTGCACATTTTTAAAGTTCCCCCTTCATTCAAAATATGTTTTAGATGTCTACCATATACTGGTTATGCTGTTATAGCTGAAAGATATAATAAATTTTAAGACTAAATAAGATAAAGAAAATTTATTAAGAATTTTTAATTCTTGTGGGCAAAGATAGATAATACATAGCAAACCAGTACATTATAGAAATTGAAAATTAAATTATTACTAAAACTTAAGTAGTATTCTAGTTGAAGAGCCTGTGAGATTTTTATTTTATGGGGTTTGTTTTGTGATTTGAGTGAAAGTTTACACAACAAATTAAATTTCCATTTTCAGTTTACACATATTTAACGATAGTTACACTCCTCTGAATAGAACAACCCTCTTCCCACTTCCTCCTAGTGGTCTCTGTTTCCATTTGTCCTTCATTCCTGCCTTTCAAGCCTTGTTTCAGAATAAAGCACTGTCTCTGAATCTCATGTAGATGATTTTACTGAAGAGGATGGCCCTCACTAGGTTATTGTTTATTTATGAGCCAGTTGTTTGACTGAAAGCTTCAGTTCCAGTTTTGGAAGGTGTCTAAGGGTTATAGATTTGAAAGTTCCACCAGTTGCAAGTCAACTCATAAGCCTGGTCTTTTTCCCCCCCAAATTTTAATTTTGTTCTATGTTTTTCTTCTATTCTTTACAAGATTTCTTTTCTGATTCTAGGAAGAGTAGTATAGCATATCCAGGAACCATCTAGTTTTCTGGTCTCCTGGTCATGGAAACTAAGGTTCCTACCCTTCTTTGGACTACTTGGCATCTTTGAGTCTTTCATATCCTTGACTCTTCTTTGGAGGGGGAAAGATTAGTTGTTGCACTTTGAATGGCCGCTTAGATACCTTTAAAATCCAGGTTAGTAGTCATCAAAATAAGATGCAGACCATGTTTGTTTGTTTGTTTTTTTACCATACTATGTCAATTCACCACGATATCTCCTTAGACTGTGATCCCAAATCTCTGAACCCAGTGTTTCATTCCTTCATACTGTTAGGTTGTGGTGTAGAAGCCCTGATGAAGTAATAGTTCACATTTAGCAGATGTACACCTTCAAAAATGTGATGGAGGATCACCGTGAGTCAGGATTGACTCACTGGCAATGAGTTTAGTTTTGAGTTTATACTCTAGTATATACTTAGATATATTTGCAGCACCTACAAATACATATTTAGAAATAAATACTGCTGAGTGTTCATATACTTGAGGGCACAGTTTCATTCCCCTTCCCACACCTACTCAGGTTGTATATCTTCCTATGTATCCACTTGTATATTATTGTTGTCACTGTTAAAGCAGGAGTTTATATGCACAAGTATTTCCTTTTGTTGCCTTTAACTCTTGTGCACCTCCCAGTCTTTCCTGGCCTTTGTCATATTGTGCCAACCTTCCCCTTACTGTATATTGCATTTCCCTTCACCCATGTTAAAATGAGCCTACTCTATGGTTTATATTTCCTTGTCCACTCCTAACCCTGATAACTATCACAGAATGTTTCTGTGTTAAACCTTTTTTTTTTTTACTTTTTATGAGATTATTCTCATAGAATTTTGTAAGTGACCATTATAAATAAGAGCACAGCGAAGATTTCATAGAAAAATGTGAGGCTTGAGCAAAAACCTGATAACCCAGTTCAAATGGAATCTTGGAGAAGAATTTACTGGCCACATAGGAGAACTGGCAGGAAGAAAAGGTTTACATGGGGCAGACATAAGGAAGAAGAGACACAGAAACAATCATTGCTGGAGAATATTTAATAGGAGATAAACCAGGATGATATTATGGGACTAGGAAGATAGGCAGGGGCTCATCATGTAGGGTTTTATTAGCCCTCGTAAGGTGTATTGGCTTTATTCTGTATCCAATAGCAAGTTAGGCTAATGTTGGACAGAGAAGAGTGGGATGATGGGAAATTTCCTACATCAAGATCACTCTAGAAGTTTTGAGTGATATGGGGAGAAGAACATGTCCTAAGAGAGAAGAAAATTATTTATGGGTTTGCTATGTTGTTTCCTATTGTGATTCCAACAAAGCGGATGTATTAAATAGATTCTTTATAGTTAGATATAGATAGATATTTTTTTATTGTTAAGTGCAGTCGAGTTGTAGGTGACTCATAGCCACCCTGTGAACGAAACACCTGAACACTTGTATAACTTTCATCATTTCTCCAAGTTCATGGAGTTTCTGGAGGCAAGCTATTTTGGAAGTGGATGCCACTCCTACTTCCAAGCTTGTTTTAATCGGGGAACTCCACCAAATACTGTCTACCATGGGTAACCATTATTGCATTTGATACATCAGTGTCACAGTGTTCAGCTTTACAGCAACCATGAGTTACCTCTGTACAGCAAATGGACAGCCAGTGCTATACCACTTAGAAGAATGTTTGACCAAAAACAATTAAAACCAGGTTTGAAGGCACAGATTAAAATCACCCACCTTTGGCTTGGTAGTATAACTTTCTGTCAACTAGGCCAACTGAACTCTCTCATTGTTTTATAGATAGATATATTTCAGACAGAGATCCATGAAAGAGATCAGGGCCAGAGAAAATGTGTTTTCACTATAAAGATATAATTTAAGGTTATGGAACTAAATAAACTCCATGAGGAGAGGGTAAAGTTGAGAGTCTATACCATGTTATCACTAAAAAAACTGAGAGGAAAAGTTAGAAAGGAGACTGGCAGGAATAGCCAAGATTTGAAGGGAAAGAAAGCTATGTTATGGGTGTCCAAGAAGCTAAGAAATTACTTGTACTTCATGTAGGCAAATTTAATCAAGAAATACTCAGCAGTAATCTACTCTTGCTTTTCCTTTAACAGATAGTTCTACCCCAGAGACAACAAGCATGAATACCACAGACAATGGTGTTAACTGCCTATGTGCTATATGTGGGGACAGAGCTACAGGAAAGCACTACGGAGCGTCAAGCTGTGATGGATGCAAGGGCTTCTTCAGACGCAGCATTCGGAAGAGTCACGTTTACTCCTGCAGGTACTGGAAATGCCACTTTTGGCAGTGTTTCAAAGAAATAAAGGCATAAAAAATATGCCATTCTATTTTTAAACTCAATTTTTAAAAAGTCTATAAATTACACTAAGATTGAGGCTGCATGGATAAGTATCTGTATACACACAAGTTGATGGAGATATATTTGTTATATGCTGTTGAGTTGTCACCGACGCATAGGTGATCCCCCAGTGAGTTTTTAGTGGCTGCAAATAGCACAGAAGGAGATTGCTCATCTTTTTCCTATGGAGAAACTGGTGAATTTGAACCACCTGACTACATGCCTTTGTGTTGGCAATGCAGCTTCTTACCAGTAAGCCTCCAGAACTCCATATGTGTGCATGTGTATGTATGCATTCCGTATGTATACACATGCACCCCTATATATATCCATGTACCACCATTCTAAACTAATACAGTTGAAAACTTTGGTAGGTATTTCTCCTATCACATTCTCTTTTCTGCTTTTTTCCTAGAGGTAACTCTTGTCTGAAATTTGGTATTTATCCTTTCCTTGTTTCTTTATTGCTTTACTACATATGTATAAATCACTAAATATTTTATAATCCTGTATTTAAATAGCATCACAATGTGTGTATTTTTCAACTTCATTTTATTTTTGCACTACATTTTAGTTTTCTGCACTGTTATGCATTATTTTATTTTTGGTAGCTGTTTATCTTTGAAGTTAATGAATAAATGTTCCTTTTTATTTCTAAAATTTTAAATGTGTTTTTTATGACAGGATTTTTGCCATTGAATTTGAATGCCTAAAAGTGACTAAACTATATTGTATATGTCACACATTTCTAGTGAATTTTAAAAATAGCCTTACTGCACAATTCAGGTTCTCATGCCACAACTTGATCATTCCTTCAGTATCAGAGTTTTTGAATACAGATTAGATCTAGATTAAATAGGGGCTATTTTTTTAAAAAAAAAAATTATTTGTGTTAAAAATCCTGTGTTTGTTCTATTTTTAAAAGGCATGTTAAAGATTAATATTCTGTTGGACATTTAGGAAAAAGTTAACTTTTTTAACAGCATAGTGGCATTGGATTGCTAGGAATATGAAAAAGTTAATATATCATTTCTCAAATATCTAACTAGGGGTTTTAGTAAATTTTATGTGAAAGCTTGAAGCAAGCTTAAGAAAGCATTTAAATCACCATCACTCACTAGAAAATCTTAGTTTAAAAGAACAAAACAAAAACATATATATGAGTTTTTCTATTATTATACATGCTATAAGTATAGAGGTAAATAAAAACCCCTGTGTCTTTAATGAAATGTATTTTCTCTCATTAAATATTGAGTGCTCTGGAAAATTAGCATTTAAAAGATACACAAAATCATATTTTAATAATGTTTTTAGGTAATATAATTGGTTAAGAGTGAAAAACATATGTATTTTATACCTTCCCCACACATATGAAGCATAGTTACTGAAACTGTGAAATCAAAAGCAACTTTTACGAATAAAAGCATGGCATAACAAGGACTTTCAAGATTATCTTCCATCCTATAAGGGAAAAATAGAAAGAAGTGTTCCTATGGCAACTTTTGGGAGTTTAAAAAGTATTCCAGAAGTTTGTACTTTTCCCCAAACCTTCCATCATGGTTACTCAAGCTAACCTATCATATATATATATATATATATATAAATTTTTCCATTCACATTGTGTTTCTTATGATCATTCTCATATATTTTGTCTTATAAAATTAATTACCATTGATTTATGCCCCATATTTATTTCCCCATATTTTCATATTCCCATTAGATCTTTCTAATTCTTTCACCTTCTCCCTCCACCCACCAAACTCCAGTGACCTCTCCTCATCCTTAACCTCAACCCCTACTTCCTTCCCTTCCTTCTTTGTATATTCATATACATCTTACTGGTTATTCTTCTGTTTTTACAATAATGATCTTATTCAGTTTGCATCTTTATGAGCCCAAGTTAGTTCACTCAACATAATGCTTTCTAGCTTTTCCTGTACTATATAGTGTTTTTCAGAATTTCTCCCAAGTGCCACATAGTATTCTATCAATTTTTCTTTATATATTTTGATATTAAGAAAATTTTAGGGAACTCTCTTGGCCGAGTGGTAAGAAACTGAATTGCAATCCTGAAGGCTCACGGTTCTAATTCACCAGCTGCTCTGAGGGAGAAGGATGGGCAATCTCCTCCTGTGTGATTAAGTGGCTCAGAAAACCCACTGGAGGGTCAACTATGGGTCAATACTGACTCGATGATACTGAACAACAACAAGAAAACTTTATCATTTTTCACTTGAGGGTTTAAAATGTGGCATTTGATACAACATATAAGAGCATAAAGGTTTTGCAAGCTTTCATTTTGCTGGTCAAGAATTCATTCATTCCTGAAATTTGAAAAATTCATTTCTATTGTTTTCTATATTTGGTATATTGTACTGTAATTGCTTTCTCTTTCAATACACTTTAAATTATTGGTCTTAGTACTTCTCATATTTTAATTTTTCTTATGGGTGTAAGCTTGTACAAATACTCCATTAGGAATTTCTGTGAATGGAAGAAACAAGTGATGTTTATGTCTTTAATCCTTACACTAGGATCAAATACAAAGTAGGTGTTAATACATGTTTATTAAATTATTTTATTGATTTAATTTTAATTGGATGTATTATCCTGTTGTGTTTATTGGAAATCTGGTCTTCTGAGCCATATATTCTCAAATGAACAATCTGGGTTTGTTCTTTTCTCTATTCATTACAACAGCAAAACATTTTTCTAACTTAATTGGTAAGTGGTAGACTTTAATTTTTTATTTTTTCTTAAGCAGTTGCCCATTTTTTAAAGAATAAATGTTTCTTTAATAAGTAACAAAATCTATTCTTTTATTCTCATCATTAGTATTCAATTAGAAAGCACTACAAATCTACCAATGGTCATAGAGTCCTGATGGCATAGAGCTTAAGTGCATGGCTGCTAACCAGAAAGACTTGCCATGGGAACCCATCAAGTGCCCCTGTCCTTCTACTCCCATGGAGATTACAGCATCAGAAGCCCTATAGAAGAGTTCTACTATCTTATACAGAGTCACTATGAGTTAGAATCTAATACATGGCATACAACAATAACAATTCTTAGGGCTAATCTTCTACCAGAGTTTGCTGAAAGCTTTTTAATGTCTAAAGTACATTCACACAGAAGCACTTTAAGACAAATTTCTTTTTTTCTTTCTAGTTTATAATTATAAGTGAACTTTTAGTAAATAGTAAACCTACAAGTTAAGTTTTGGAGTAAATCCAGAAACTGTATTCCCTTTCTTCTCCTTGGTTTTTATGTATAATTTAGTTTTTAGTATATTTACAGAGTTTTATAACCATCACTACCACCGATTTAGAAATGTTCACAGCCCAATAAAGAAACCTGTACTCTTCAGCAGCCACTTTGTCATTTCCTCCAACCAGAGACCCCACTCTCATTTGAGGCAACTACTAATAAACTTTCTGTTTCTATAAATTTTCCTATTTTAGACATTTCTTGAAAACAAAATCATGTGATAAATGACCTTTGGGGCCTAGATATTTCTATTTAACATAATGTTTTAAAGATTCATCCGTATTGTTGCTTCTGTAGGTTTCTTAGGTATAAATTCCTGAGAATGCCATTACTTAATCATACAGTAACTCTATATTTAAGTTTTGGAAAGTGCTAACTTTCTTCCAATGCAGTTGTACCATTTGAAATGAGCTGCCAGCCAAAATGCAGGTTGTTCAAATCAACCAGTTGCTCCATGGGGGAAAAAAATGGCAATCTTCTTCCATGCAACACCACAGCCTTTGAAAACCTGCTGGAGGGTCAGTTTTGAGTCTGTTTCAACTTGGTAACAATAAGATAGGGACTAACAGTTTATTATGGCTTCAGTTTTTACACATTCATACTAATATTTTTTCCTCTCCAGTATCTGTGCTACTGGGTTTGCAGCCTATGCTCTTACTGCTGTTATCAACTGTTACTTAATAACATCTAGAGTAAACTTTCTTTGAATGAAAAGAGCTCTGTTGGAGTATACTATATGGAATCATGGTGCCAGTCATAAGGTGGTACTTCTCTGGCAGTTTGAATCCACCAGTGGCTCTATGGGTTCAGAAAGATGTAGGGTCTCCTCCTGTGTGATATATAGCCTCAGAATCGCAATGGAGGATCAGCTATGAATTGGTGCTAAATCATTGACAATGAATATTTTGGGTTGAGTTTATTTGGGTATAAAGTACACTCAAAATTGATAGGAAAAATCAATGCAAGTACAAGGATGTGTTGATTTTATATAGTCTTCACCGAACCATTTAATAGTAAAAATCAGTATTTTTATACAAAATTTTTATGACATTTAGTTTTCATGGTTCTTGAGAAAAATTATCAATATATACCTAATAACAGTAAGATAGGCATTCAATTTTAGTTTATCATGAAGTCAGCATCAAAAAAGGAACTTGTATTTCTCTCTCTGTACATATGTTGATGATGAGACCCCATGAAAACATCATAAGCAATTGTTTCTATACATTCATCTAGTGAGTCAAATTTCACCATAATTATTTGAAGTCTATGTCTGTATTTGCTTTTTTTATAAAAATATTTTATACAAACTAACATTTGTTTGATATTATAGGTTCAGCCGGCAATGTATTGTTGACAAAGACAAAAGGAATCAATGTAGATATTGTCGATTAAGGAAGTGTTTTAGAGCTGGAATGAAAAAAGAAGGTAATACTAATAATAAAATTATTATTAACATTATTGATGAAAAATGGTAACACATATTCTTCTTTAGTTATAGTAATGTTTACATAGAGGTCTTAGAATTTTCCTCACGAGGTTGATAAAAAGAAGCTGTGACGTCTTGAGTCTAAAACTTAGCTCACCCAATTAGTAAGTATTGGAGATAATTTAAATCTGATGACTGCAATTCCATTCCAGGTACTATTTTCTCTAGTGCTATGTTATTCTGAAAAAAATCCTAGCTAATATTTCAATGTTAAAAAAACAAATGGCATGGTAGATTAGCTTATATGTAATATATAATATTATTAATTATGATAATGATTATAATACTAATTCATATTTCTTAATTATCAATAATAATTGATTCTTGATTATTCTATTCCTTTTATAAAAATTAAGTAAACACCTGCTTTTTATTCATCTGTGCATTCAGTACATATTTATTTACTATGACTGTTTTCAAATACTGTTTCAGGTGCTGCAGTTTCAGCAGTAAACAAAATAGATCAAAATAATCCCCTTTATTCTATCAGGGAATAGACAATAGATATTCTATTTTAGTGTGCACTCATTTAATTCTGATATTTTAAAAAATCTGATTGTAGTTCCCTACATTCAAAATAAGGTTTATATACAAATCAATATGTTGAATATATTCTATTTTAGAGGAAATAGCAGCTACAAGATTTTGATGGTTTTTACATTTGACACAGGCTTAAGCCTGTTATCCACAAACAGCTATCTTCACCAAACTATACTTCAAATTTTAAAAAATGAAATTAAAAGACCTCTTTATATTATAGAAGTGCAGTATTTACCATATGAACTTATCTCTGTTGTTGTTTATTGCCTTTGAGTCGAGCATGACCCATAACAACCCTATGAGCAAAAGCCCTGAAGCCCCTCTACAAGTTTCTGCATTCATAGAGTTTCCGGAGGCATGTTGTTTAAGAAGTGAAAAGCACTCCAGCTTCCAGTCTGTAGCACAATATTTTTTAATTCTTCTTTTTAACACAATGTTTTTAAAGATACAAAATTTCTTTAATTTTTTGGGGTCCCTAAGGCTTTTTTCACACACAGAAAAGATGGAACAAAATTATGAATTAATTTTTTCAATTCAAAATGACTGATCTCTAATGTCACAAAAACTAGATTTAGTAGTTGAGGAGATTAATCATAAACTTTGCTCATCATTGTAATCCATTTCTACTTGAACGCTATATTCATCCTTACAGAAGTGAAAGTGAATTATAGCTTTATAGTTCTATTTGAGTATTAATATATATAAATTTATATACACACACACACACACACACTATGGTTGACTGCATTCGAGCCGAGCAAGACTCATAGTGACCTTATGAACAAGCCTTTCTAAAGCTGCTGGCAATTATCAAAATTCGTAGAGTTTCCAGGAGCATGTTTTTTAGGAAGTGGATGCCACTCCTGCGTCTCTCTCTAATATATAAAACAAAATTACTTTCAGTAATAGAAAAACTAAATTTTCTATCATTGTAAAAGAAATAATAAACATTTCCTCAGTAGATTATGAAATAATTTTGGGTTTCAAAGTAGATATATTTCTCTATTTACTGTAATAGAGTAGTAACAAGAGTAATTAAATGGATAGATCCAGATGTTTATATAGAGAGATGATTATCTTATATCTAAAAAGATAGTGAGAAGATTAGAAATGTTCACAATATCTTTTAGCATTTTTTTGTGTTAAAGTAATAAAAGCAAACTTTCATAATTTTTTATTTCCGTATAAATTAGTGTTAGGCTGAAAATCAATAATAATTTCTGTTAAAAAATATTAGCTATCTGTAGATATTGTTTTATAATCCCATAATAATTCATTCTTAAAATTAAAGACAAGGCAAAATTTTCTTTTGCAACAAGAAAATTAAGACATAGTAGTAAGTTCTGGATTTTGTTTATTATACTTTAATAATGGTTGTTTTTTTAAATGAAAGAATAATTAAGGAAAAAAATTGGACAGGCTAAATTTTATCCTACTAGTCTCTGCCCACACTCAAACCCATAGTTTTAGTCACTATGTCTGAAAAACCATAAGGATGGCTTAGGATAGGTTAAAGTTTGGATTTGTTGTTCATTGGGTCACTATGAATCACTAACTCAAGGTTACGTTAAGAATAAAAACAGTTCCTTGACTTTCCAACAGAACAAAGTAAGCATCACTTAAAAAGCAACAACAACAACAACAACAACAAACCCTAAGGGTTTGTAAGCCTTGATTACTTCCTTCCCTAAGTAATAGTATATAATTTTCCAACCTAAATTTTGAAATCTATTCTTTATGTCAAATGTAGGGAACTCTGGTGGCCTAGTGGCAAGAAGTTGCACTGTAATCTGAAGGCACGTGGTTCAAGGCCACCAGCTCCTGGATGGGAGAAGGTTGTGTGATCTCCTCCCATGCAGTTAATTAATTGTCTCTGAAAATCTGCTAGAGGGTCAGCTATGGGTCTGTTCTGACTCTGCAGTACACAGCAACAAAACAAAATGTTAAATGTAGAAATTAATCATCTCTCACATTCTTCCAAATATTTGAGTAGTTTTCAGTAAGAAATCTTAGGAAATAGGTAATTTAGTCTTTCTTTTCTGAAATGAGGAAATGGACAAAGATCTACCTTGGGATTTATATAATACTTATGATATCTTAATGTTTCCAAAATGTTATTTTAACCCCTGTCATCTCTTGGACAATACTGAAAATTTTGCCTTGTTCATGTTTGTAAACTTCTGAAAGGACAGTTCCATAGGTGACCATAAAATTATAGTTTTTAAGTCACATTAAGGAAGAAAACATTGCCTTATTTTAAGGAACTCTAATTATGTAGTATGTTAGGTGTTGTGCAGCCAATCAAAAAAGTCATCAATTCTAGTTCACCAGATCCTTTAAAGAAAAAAAAAACTATAATATCTCTTCCCATTTAAATATTTTCAGTCCCAGAAACCCAATAGAGGGTTACTATGAGTCAGAATCAACTCTGTGGCAATGGGGTTTATGTCTTTTTTATCTGTTCGGCTCTAACAAACATATAAAAGTATGAATGACTAACAAACAGACATGTATTTTCTCATTTTGTTGTTGTGTTCCATCAAGTCAGAACCAACCCATAGCTGACCCTCCAGCAGGTTTTCAGAGGCAATAAATCTCACAAAAGTAGATTGTCTATCCTCTGCACATCAGCTGGTGGATTCAAAGTGCATGTCTTTGGGATTGTAGCACAGCTTCTTATCACTAGGCCACCAGAGATCTTCCACGTTTAGAACAGTGACTCTAGGGCAAGTCTCTCTCTCTCTCTCTCTCTCTCTCTCTCTCTTTCTCTCTAGTCTGGAGGAAGGTCTTTGTCTCTTCAGCTTCTGCTTCCACCTTTCTTGAAGATCTTCATGTGTCTCAACATCTCTTACTTCATTTTTTCTCTATTTTTATGATTAATCTCTTTTATCATCTCAAAAGAGATTTACTCGAAATAATTCCTACACTAATCTTTTTTAATAACAGAACAAAGAGAAAGTGAAGATGCGCCACAATCCCAGAGGCATAGCCTGGGTTAGTTCCGACTCAAAATCACATAACAACAAAACAAAGAGATAGTAGGGAACTCTGGTGGCCTGGTGGGTAAGGAATTGTGCTGCTAACCCAAAGGCAGATGATTCAAATTCACCAGCTACTCTTAGAGAGAAAGATGAGCAGTTTTGTTTTTTTCTGTGCAATTAACAGCCTGTGAAAGAAAACCTGCTGGAATCAACTATGATTTGGTTCCAATACATAGGCACAAAACATTCACCACCAATAGGATTATAACCATCAGCATAAAGGTTAGGATTTACAACACATATTTTGGGTGGACAGCACTTCAAACTTCTGCCCCTTAAATTCCTATTCTTGACACATGCTGAAACACATTTACCCTAACGGTAGTCTCAAAAGGTTAAGTCACTTCTCTGTCTAACATCTCATCCTCTAAATCATTTCAGTCATCTATAAGTAAAAGAGTTCTTGTATTTATTTCTGGGGACTGTAAAATTTAGAGTACAAGGTATCTATTTCCAAATTGCACTGGAAGATCAAGTTCAAGGTAGATATTTCAAATACAAATGAAATATACTGGAGGGGAGGAAAGGAATTATATATATCTAGTAAAACCCTCTATGCAATGTATTGACTCAGTGACTGGAGTAATAAGGGTAGGTGTGTTGGAGACAATAAGGTTGGCTCAGGATAGAGCAGGGTTCAGAGCTGTTGTACGTCGAGTCTCTATGTGTCGCAAGTGACTTGATAGCACATAACAAAAACAACAGTAAGTTATTCATCCAAGTTGCTTATTGGTCCAGTGGTAAGGCAACATTATGACAGACAGAGAAAAAGACTGAAACTGTCAACAACATCATCTTATTTGGATCCACAATTAGCAATCTTGGTACCAGCAGTCAGGAAATCAGGAGATGTTGCACTGAAAAAGTCTGCAGTTAAAGATCTCTCCAAATTATTTAGGGGTAGTGATGTCAGTTTGAGGACTAAAGTGTGTCTGATTCAGGCCATAATCTTTCCAATCACGTGCTGTGCATCTGAAAGCTAGACAGTGAATAAGGATGACAGAAAATGAATTGACGCCTTTGAGCTGTGATGCTGGAGAACACTGAACATCCCATGGACTGCCGAGAGAACAAACAGATATGTCTTAGAGAGGGTGCAGTTGAAGTGCTCTTTGGAGGCAAAGAGAATAAGGCTTTGCCTCATGTACTTCAGGCATGTTGCTATGAGGGGCTAGTCCTTGGAGAGGGACATGATGCTCAGAAAGGTAGAGGGTCAGTGAAGGAGAGGAAGACCCTCAATCAAATCCACTGACACCGTGACTGCCGCAATGGACTCTTACGTGTGGCTTCATTCAAGACAGATTTGTTCATTCTAGAAGTCCACAGTGTTTTCAATACTTTTCAAGTGTACCAGCTTCCTTCTTTCTTATTCATTGTCCAGATTTTGATTGCAGAGGAGATGATTGATTATGTTTTGGCTTGGGTAAAGGATACCTTAGTCTTCAAGGTTACATGTTGGATTTTTACAACTTTAAAGAAGTGTTTTACAGCAAACTTGCCTTTAATGTTCATGATTCTAAATAGTGTCCTCAGAACAATCTAAAATGTTACTATTCAACGTCTTTAAATTCCTCCAGTCTGCATCCAATTTTAAAACCACTTACATGGTGCAAATATTTTCTTAGAGAAACATTTCATGTCTGATATAAAATTCTGTCATAGTAATCTAGTACTGCTATGACATGAATGTCTCAAATGTTGTTGTTGTTATGTGCCTTGAGTCATTTGCGACTCATAGCGACCCTATATACAACAGCCCTAAACCCTGCTCTATCCTGTGCCAATCGCATTGCCTCTGACACACCCATCCCGATTACCCCAGTCACTGAATCAATCCACCTCATAGAGGGTCTTCCCCTCCTGCGCTGTCCCTCCACCCTACCAAGCATGATGCCTCTCTCCAAGGACAACGTGTCCAAAGTATGTCAGACGAAGCCCCAGAATCATTACCTCCAAGGAGTAGCCTAGTTTAACCCTCTCCAGGATGAATCTGTTTGTTTTCTTGGCAGTCCGGGGTGCATTCAATACTCTTCTCCAGCACCACAGCTCGAAGGCATCAATCCTCCTTCTATCCTCCCTAGTCATTGTCCAACTCTCTGATGCATAACAAGTGATTGCAAATGTCTCAAATAGATTAATAGGCATAAATTTATTTTCTCAGTTTCTCTCTCAAATCTTATCACAGACAAGTCAGAACCAATTCAAAGCTGACACTCTAGCAGGTATTTAGAGACCATAAATCTCGTGGCAGGAGATTGCCTATCTTTCTCCAAAGGAGCAGATAGTGGATTCAAACCACTTGCCTTTGATTGGCAACTCAACTCCTTACCCACTAGACCTCTAGACTACTTCCCTTTCTCATTTTAAGATGATATAGAATATATATATATATAAATTCAGAGCACTAATTCTAGGGGAAAGTTCCATTTCTCTGTAGGTGCAAAAGAATTGTCTCTGTCTCTTCAACTTCTTTTACTGGTTCTTTGAAATCTGGCTCCATATATCTTGATGACTACCTTAACTCGTCTGACCTCTGCTGATTTGTTGTTTAATCTACTTTATATGTCAAATACAGCATACATTAATCAAACCTCATAGCACAGGATAGGACACGGTTCAGATCTGTTGTTCATAGGGTCATTTGTGAGTTGTACTCAACTTGATGGCACCTACAACAAAATTCACATAAAAAAATCCCAATGCAATTATAACTATAGGCATAAAGGTTAGGATTTACAACTGAAGTATTGAGGAATAGTTCAATCCACAGAAGACTGGTGGTGTTATGATTAAAGATCAGGCTACAGACTTAAAAATAACCCACTTGAACTCACGAGATGCCACACAGAGAAAGATGTGAGACTTAGTTTCCTTAAAGCTTTACAGCCATTGAAATCCTATGAGGCGTTTCTATTCTGCCTTATGGGGTCATTATGAGTTGGAATTGACTGAACAACATTGACTTTGTCTTGGTCATTTAATCCATAACATCTTACTTTCTATTTTTACTAGTACTACATGTTGTTGTTGTTGTTGATTGTCATCAAGTGGAGCACAACTTATAGTGACTGTATAAACAAAAGGCCTGAAGCCTTTCTATAACTATTGTCATTTCTCCTAGTTCATAGTGTTTCCAGAGGCATGTGGTTTAGGAGGTAGATGCGACTCGGGCTAAAAAATGGAAGTTTCAATTTTCTGTGACTCATGTCTTCTGACTGTGAATATTCTCTTCTTATCTTTGACCTGGTGAAACTCACAGGCAGTACTCCTCTAGTTATCTAAATGAATTTATTAACTTTCAGAGAAGGACAAAAAAAAAAGAATTCCATTAAAACTATTGAGTGACTAAACTGGTTAATACAATATTTTCTTATATGAATGACATTATGAAGTTATCATCTTACTTTTTGAAGTGTTATGGAACAAAAGAATATATCTGGTCAAACCTTCTCCTGGCAATGGGAATTTGACAAAAAGCCTCCTTACATCCCTAATAATTTGTGTTTACTTAAAACTGTATTATCTTGGCATTCTTGAAAATACCTGATCAATAAATACTGTGATTTTCTTCTTTAGCTGTGCAAAATGAACGTGACAGAATAAGCACCAGAAGAAACACGTTTGATGGCACCAATATCCCCTCCATTAACACACTGGCACAAGCTGAAGTTCTATCCCGCCAGGTATATGCTGCCCTTGAGCCTCCAAATATGGCTAGTAGTCATATGCTTATTGAGGGATAGTGTTGAAATAGTTTTCACTCATACAGATGTACTCATTACTAATTTTGATTACATCTATATTAATTCAGTAGTTTTTACTTAAAAATATTAGTCAGATTGATGATGTTAGTTTTTAATATTTTTCAGCAAGACCTAGGAGATAAATGAAATACATTTGAATCTAAAGTTGTTTTTCTTAAAAAAGGTTTGTTTAAAAGGTTGATTAAAAATACTTACTATATATCATAGTGCTCTAGGAAAAAGATTATATTACTTGAATTTTAAAATCAGTGCCATAATTTATGTAGCGTTTAGTTGAGAATTGTAATCACTGCTTCCTTTCTTGAAAATGACTTTTGAATGGAAGATGCCACCTTGGCAACCTGATTATGAAACAGACATTCAAGGAAAGACACAAAATTCAGAAAACCTGAGAGAAAGGATGTTTTTTTACTTTGACTTTCTCAAAAGAGAGTATCAGTTCTATATAACAACAGCAATGATAAAATAGATTAATGATTACATACATAAAATAATTCACTAGGGAATCAAGCAAACAAAGATTGTTTATGTTTGTATTTTCCCAAGTAGAAATGCTAGTGGTATTTTTTAAATTATAAAGCAAACTTATGGTGTGGTTTGTAGGGAATTGTTAGGCTAACCTAAAGGTCAACTGGTTTAAATGCACCAGCCATTCAGGAGAAGAAAGATGGACAGTTTCATCCTATGCAATTTACAGCCTTGGAAAACTGCTGGCGGTTCAGCTGTGAGTCACTTCCAACTAGACCACAGTGAGTTCAGTTGTTGAGTTGAAGTAATTCATCAGCTCTTCTGAGTCAGTGTAACTACTTTCATTTTTGGTAATACAAAGATAATATGATGAGGCTAACATCTTCCTTATCATCATTGTTATTTGATAGTCCTATAAAGCTATTATAAGATGATTTCTAGAAGAGCTGTATGGAATAAACATGCACACATGACACACACACACACACAGAGGCATGTTCAATTGTTAAGTTTATAAGAACTTTCAGATGATGATTTTTCTCAGCAAAAAGCCATTTTTAACACCAGTAGTATTTCTATGTAGATAAAAATTATATCAAGTTTTAAATATTTATCATTAATTTTTTTATTTTTTATTACTGCTGAGCCAAGAGTTGATGAATCTTATTCCAGTGAGCTTCTATTTAATGCCCTAATAGAAATAGCTCTACTTTCCTGTCTCGATTCATTATATATATATGTCATTACTTTAAGTTTTATGCAATGGAAGCATTTTCTGCATAAGTTTCAACCAGTTAAATATTTAATTCCTTCATTAACGCACCTTTATGTAAAAATTAAAATAAAAAAACACAGAACATATTTCATTTGTTTAATTCTATAACCTGTATTAATGAAACACCCTAAAAGTTGTAGTAACTGTAGTAAAATTTATAAATTTTACTTTTATAATAAGCTATTATTCCCAAAGGAACTGGGCTAGTATTGAGCATTTTCCTTTGAACTTATACAATAATGGACATTTTATCAGTTAAAAATATTTAGCATTGTATTGTTCTGTCAAGATACTACAATGACAGTGTCTGCTTCCTGGACATTTATTTACTCCCAAAAGAGAAGAAAGAAGAATATTGAGCATGCGTTATTTTAAAACATAAATCAATGTAATATTCTGCTTAATTTTAGATTTCAGTATCAAGTCCTGGGGCAAGCACTGACATAAGTGTTAAGAAAATCGCAAGTATCAGTGATGTTTGTGAATCTATGAAACAGCAACTCTTAGTGCTGGTGGAATGGGCTAAATACATTCCTGCCTTCTGTGAGTTACCCTTGGATGATCAGGTATAAATTTAAGAACCTAGAAATGATTTTTACTCTTTAAATAAAAATTCCAAGGTTTTGTCTTCTTTTAATGATACTGTTGGTAGATTTAGTACATTTGTCAAAGGTCTGAGGAGACAATTGAGTTTTCCCATCCATTCATCTTCTAATTTTATACAGAGGTATAACTTCTTGATTCCTGCTTAAAAAGTCTAACAAACTTATTGATTAGACAAAACTGAGTAAGAACTACACAGAGTTTGGATTGTAATAAATCCTTTGGCGTTTGAAAGTCTTATATAAGGGAAGAAGATTTACCAAAGCATGTGAGACAAAGCATCAAAAGGTGAAAGTGTGAGAAGGAAATGTTCTATTGTGTCTTGATGTTTATTAAAAATGCCGTAATTAAATGTCTTAGAAGTACCAGGTTGTATTTATATCTTTTGAGGCATTTTATGAACTACATAATGATATATCCATTTTTGTTATGATATTTATTTGTAATATTTACTGTATAAAAATAATTTCTTTAGTAACATAGGCTGTAGTATAGAGAAATCAAATTCATGTTTAATGTTTTGGTGTTTTTTTATTTCTAATACATACTCTTTCCTATTTTGTCACCGGTGGGTTAAAACATTTTAATTGATAGTTAGGGAGCTGCACGGCTAATCCAAAGGTTGTACCTCCCTGGCAGTTCAAATCCTCCAGTGGCTCTGAGGAAGAAATATGAGCAGTCTTCTACCATGCAATATAGAGTCTCTGAAAACACACTGGAGAGTCAGCTGAGTTTGTCTGACTCTATGGCAGTAAGGATTTATGGGTTTTGAGCATTGATAATTAAGGACTTTAATTTTCTACTAAGTATATGAAGATTAAATTACTAGTTTCAGATTTATTTAAAGTGCCTCTTAGAAAGAAGTGCAACTCCTCTATTCAACACTGAATAAGCCTTGTATTTTTTATAATCAGGGCATATTTATTAGCCTCTGACCAGAGTTTTCTCTCAGTCATGAAAAGAATAATCACATAGAAAAGAGCATGACTATTTTAAACAGACAAAGAAGGGCAAAATAGTTATATAACCTGAAAAAATTGAATATGGGAAGTTAGTAGTTACATTTCTAAGAGAGCTTTTCACCTCATGGTGGTGGGGAAATGCTATGAAATTCAAAATCATTCTTAAAATTTTTGTAACTGCCTTCCTGGTGTGAGTCACTGCTATTGACGTATCATAAAGATAGCTTGACTCGGGAGATTATACCAGAGTGAATAATGCTAAATTGCTAAAACTACTAGTCTCACCCCAAGCAATATAAGTAGGGTTGTGTTAATTATCAGTTTTATATTTTTATTATCATCCTTCTTTAAAAATTGCTGACTTATGTATGAGGATAAGAATGTAGAAGTTGGGAAATTGAACCCTACTAACTAATTGAAATTAGTTTTCATATGCTAATTGTAATATTAACTAATTAACATTAATAGCCATAGATTTTAAAATATCTGTTATATATATATATATCTTGCATAAGGTGTTAGGCAAGTAGCTGTTACTAGCATAATAAATTACATGATTGTATTTAATACTCTTGGGAGCTCCATAGCATTTGCATTATTACTTCTGTCTTATAATTCCAAAAAAGTCCTAGATCAGTTAAACTTACTCAGTAAATTTATCAAATAGCTTATTTATTAGGCACCTCTTATGAGGTTTAAATAACATTGGCTTTCAGCTATAAAAATAGATTGCTTCACAATTCTTATACGATAGCATTTTATTTCTAAATATGAACAATAAACACACTTTACATATCCTGAGTAATCTCATTTTAGGTGGGGATACGTTTTATAAAATGCTATGAAACAGAATAAGGTGAGTGGTTGGCGAGTACCTGGGTCTGAGGTAGTAAGAAATACTTCACACCGGGGTTCAGAGAAGACTTTATACTGAGACCTGACTGACAAGGACCAAACATCCAAAGGTCTGAGGAGAAAGCATTAGAGGTACATGAACAGCATTTTCAAAGTATTTGAGGCAAGAAAATCAGCCTGCAGATAAACCAGCAGGATAGTATATATAGCAGGCTGAAGTCCAAGATGTAGGTGGGGGTCAAAGCAACAAACCTCCCAAATTTCTCCCAGAATTGTATTCTGCAAGAACAATATGAAAACAAAAGAATTTTTAGGACAGTAGAGGTGTCAACTGGACACTTTTTTATAAACATAAGGCTCTATAAAGAGAAATTTTGGGTGGACGAATAAGAAAGCAAGCATGGAGATGCGTTAGTTATTTGAGTTATATTTTAATAGTCCAAGAGAAAAATGATAAGGATTTGGATTGACATGGTGGCCCTGGAGGTAAATTGAAGTGGATTAATCTGTCATATATTTTGGGGAAATTGTCATTAATATTTGCTATGGAAACAGCTGAGAGAGATGAATAACACAGAGGAATCACAATAGACGCTTGGTTTTGATGAGAACTTCCACTTCAGATGGAAGTGCCAATTATTGACATGATGAAGGTTTTGATGAAGCAATACTTTAGTGTTAAAATTGAAATGTTAACAAGTATATTCCCAGGGATAATATCCTCCAGTACATTGTGTATATAAATAATCTGAGTCAAAGTTTATTGCAAGGAGATATACAGCTATTCTAGAAAGTAGAACCTAGATTGCCATGAGAAAGCAAGCTCATTCTCTTTGTAAAGCTTTGTGAGTATTGTCCTCACACATGCTTACTCCATTTAGTAGATGTAGGAGATGGTTTTACATATAATTTCTCATTTAAACCTTTGGCCACTCTTTTTAACACTACCTTTATTTTAGGTAAAAATTAATGAGTCCCAAGCATACTACCTAACTATCCCCAAGGCTGAGTTAACCAGTTGCCAACCTGGGGTTTGGACTCTGATTTCTTTAATTCTGTGTCACTCCAAAATATTTCATGGCTACTTTGCTTTTATTTTCCACATTATTCTTTTCATTATATTGGTTTTTAAAATATTTTAGAATTAGAAAAATGAATATCTACTGACCTGGTAAGATAGTAAACTAGAGGTCTACGAGTATTAGAATTTATTAGAAGATTAAAAAAAAATTGTACATGGGCTTACTCAAAACTGCATAAGAATCAGATTAATTTTACACTGTGTTTAATAATTGTATTTTATAATTAATTGTTAAATTTGATTTCTTTTTTTTTCCATTAAGGTGGCATTGTTGAGAGCTCATGCAGGAGAACACTTACTGCTTGGAGCTACAAAGAGATCTATGGTGTATAAAGATATTTTGCTTTTGGGTAAGTTATTATTAAGACAAAATGTCTCATACATATCCCCCTCCTAAAAATAATATACAAGACCTATTCACTTCCAAAACAGCTTGTCTCCGGAAACTATGAACTTGAGAAATGAAAGTTATACAAGTGTTCAGGTCTTTCATTCATAGGGTTGCTATGAGTCATCTACAACTCAATGACACTTAACAAAAACAAATTCTGTACATAAATGACTCCTAGTGTCATAGTGTATATTGGCCTGCTTCTGAAAAATCAGCAGTTTGCATTAGCAACTCCACAGGAGAAAGACCACCAATATAGCCTTGGAAAACTGGCAATGAGTTGCTATGAATTGGAACGGTCTTCATGGCTGTGGTTTTGGTGGGTTTTGATATATTGTATATCAGGAATCCCAGTGACATAGTGCATTATGTATTGTACTGCTAAAATTTGGCATTTCAGATTCACAAGGCACTCCACAGGAGAAAGATTGGCAATCTCTTCTCAGAAAGATTTACTGCCTCAGAAAACCACTGTAGGGTACTTAGGAATCAGATTTCAATTGATTGCAGGGGTTTGGTTTTCAGTTTATTCTGGATATGCCAAGCAGTCACAGACACTAATAAATGGTGCTTTCATACACAGATTGATTGGCATTGACTGTATCCACTGAGACTACATTTTTTCTTGCCTTAAGTGTAGACAAGTTCAAAAGATTGAAATTTCATTGAAATAATCAAGGTGCATTTAGACTAATAAATCTTTGTTTTCCTATAAACCATCTTGAAGTATATATAAGAATAAAGAGTTGATAATATGCATGTTTATAATTAATGGAGACTTAATGATTTTTTTAAAACTCCTGTCTGTTTAATTGAAAAATGCATTGTTTTGTAGATTTTCTCCCCTCAATTTTAATTATTTTGTTGTAGTTGAGAAATTATGCAGCAAAGCGTATATCCATTCATTAATTTTACATGGATAATTCAATGACATTGTTTATACTCAGCCTTATGTAGTCATTCTCACCCTCCTCTCCTGATCTGTTGTTCCTCCTTTGTTAACATCAATTCACTGCCTCTTAAGGTTCCTATCTAATTTCTTGAGTTGCTATTGTCCTTGATCCCATCTTAAAAGATCACAATACACTAAGTAGACACATTTTACTAGTTAAATTTCATACTAGTTAACAAACTATGCTTTGTTTTAAAATGTTTTCAGGTGATACTTCCAGTTTAAGCTTTAAAGATTATCTCACACCAAGAGTTTTAGGGAACTCTAATGACCTAGTCATAAGAAATTGTGCTGCCAATCCTAAGGTATGAGGTTTAGAAACAACAGCTCTTTCAGTGGAGAAACATGGTAGTATCCTCCTGTGAAATTTAAAGCCTCTGAAAACTTGCTGGAGGGTGAGTTATGAACTGGTTCTAACTCAACGACACATAAGAACAACCAGACTTTCAAGGATTTATTAACCAGTCATGACCGTAGAAAGTCTAGACTTAATGTGTTTTAAAATTTTTTTGTGGTGTGTTTTTTTTTCTATTTCAGTCAACACTTTTCCATTAAATTTTTATTCAGAATGTTGCATAATGCTAGGTAGGAGGATACCATCCACTTCTTGTCTCATGACAAAACAGGTAGTTTGCAAAGGTAATCAGTAACACGTTCCACATCCTCTTCTTACCCTTGACTTTCCTTCTTTTTCTGTTAATTCCATGTTAATAGAGACCCATAGTTGTGCCTTGGTTGGCTGCTTGCCAGCTTTTAAGACCCAGGTATTATACAATGAACTACAAGGTAGAGCAGAAGCATTAAACATAAAATTGAGCTGATTAACTGGCATGTCCCATGCATGAAACCATCCCTAAAACTCCAAATCAAGGAACTAGATGCCATGAGGTGTTTGGTTGTATTTAGGCAGACTCGTTATTAAGTGCCATTGAGTTGCTTGGGACTCATAACAACCCTGCATACAAGAGTTCTGAACTCTGCTCTCTCTTGAGCCAGTTTCATTGTCTTTAATTGATGTTCTTGTTCAAAGATACCTATCACACAACTTTTGCCAATTCAACATTTTATGAGTACATTATTTATTGGCAATATTTACAATAATCAGTTGAGTAATCTTACTTTAATCAGTGTGATTTTCCCGTCAGTGTTGATCATGATGTCCTTCTCCAAGGACTGATCTCTCCTGGCCACATGCCCAAAGTAAGTGAGGCGGGGCTTCAAAATCCTAGCCTCCAAGGAGAGACTTGGTTTCACCTTCTCCAAGAAAGACCTATTTGATTTCTTGGCAGCCCATAGTATGTTTGAGACTCTTCCCCAGCACCACAACTTGAAGGCATCTATTCTTCTTCTGTCATCCTTAGTCATTGTCCAACTTTCTGAAGCATAACAAGTAATTGAGAAGACCATGGCTTGGATTAGGTGCACCTTCATTTCTATACTGACATCGTTGCTCTTCAGCATGCTGGAGAGGTCCATGAGAGCAGATTAGTATGCCTATTCCTTATGTACATTTTGTTTACACATTCATCAGTTAATAGGGATTTAGATTGTTTCTCCCTATAGCTATCTTGATATCTTGAATACAATGAAGACAGATGCACCAATTATTTATGAGTTTCTACTTTCAATTTTTTTTTTTTGGTATATACCTAGGAGTGGAACTGCTGAGTGACATGGTAGTTCTACTTTCAGGTTTTTGAGGAAACATTGCATAATTTTGCACTATGACTGTAACCTTTTAGATCCCTGCTAGTAATGAATAAGGGTTTCCTTTTCCTCACCTCCTCACCAATATATATTTTTTTAATCTTAGCTATCCTATTGGGAATGATATAGTAACACTTTTATTTGCCTCTGTCTGGCAATTAATGATATAGAGCATTTTTTTCATGTATTTTGTGCCCATTTGAATGTCCTTTTTGGTGAAATGTTGATTCAAGTCCTTTACTCATTTCATGATTGGATTGCATTTTTGTTGGTAAATTTTCAGTTTTATATTTATTTTATTTATTAGACTCTTGTCAAATAAAAGGTTTACAAAGATGTTCTAGTTGGAGCTTGTTTTTGGGTTTTTGTTTGTTTACTGAGGGTTATTTTTCCCCACCTTTTTGATAAAAAATTTTTATGCTTTCATTGTCCTATTAAATAATTCACTATTTCGAGCGAAGTCTGACAACATTCCCACTATTTGTTCTTCTAAGAATTTTGACCCTTATTCCAGATTGAACTGTTTTCTGTGTGTGCTTGAAGTATGACTCCTTTTTAAATTTTCTACATGTGGAAATACAGTTTTCCTAGAACAGTTTATTAAAAAAATCGTAATTCTTCATTGAATGGGCTTAGTAACCTTGTAAAAAATCAGTTTACCATGGGTGTGTGAGTTTTTATCTGGACTGTCAATTCTATATCATTACTCAATGTGCCTTATTCTATACTGTTAAGGAAAGTATATTTACCGGTTGTGATCTCATTACAAAGAAGTGCCATTCAGTCAACCCTGACTCATTATGACCTCATGTTGCCAGAGCAGAATTATACTTCATAAGGTTTTTGATAACAGATTTTTCCAAAGAATCATCAGTACTTTCTGCTGAGACATTTTTGGGTTGATTCATATCTCTAGCTTTTGTGTTATGTTAGTTATTTGTACCATCAGTGATTTCTTAGATACTGAGAGATAAGGTAGGAGATACAGATTGTATCTGCACCTTAGAAGAAAAGCTTGTTGTTCTACTTTTAAAAACTAACCTTCACAAACTTTATGGAACACAGTTCTATCCTAATACATATACTGTTGCCATGAGTCAGCATTACCTCAGCAGCAACTGAACAGTTGTGATTTGACTGCTCATACAATGCTATGAAGTCTCAAGTTTAACAAATGTGCCAATGGCTAAAAAGTCCTGATAGTTAAATAAGGGTGATATTAGAATTATGACTAGAATGGTAGATTCAGTGCTGAGATTTTACACACAACAAGTTTGTGTGTTCTTGAAATAATCCAGTTATTCATCTGAGCTGACTCATAAATTAGATTTTCTGGTGAAGATCCCTCAAATGTGTTTAGCTGACACTTCCACTGGCTAGTGTGGAATAACGTCAAGATTATTCTACTTTTGTGGCATATTTTTATCCTCAAATATAAATAGTTAAAAATATTTTAGAAATTCATTTTGCATCCTTTTATTTTTCAATATATCATCTCACAAACTTTGAGCATGTTTTCTGGAGGGAACAAGATGTCTTGTTGGGAAAGGTGAAATGTCAGAAAAATATAGGGAGACTCTCGACAGATTGAGACAGTGATTGTAATAACAGGCTCAAGCATTTCAGAGGATGTGCGAGGATGGTGTAATGATAGGGCAGTGTTCAAATCTGTTGTTCATAGAGTCTCTATGAGCCACTGTTGACTCAACAGTACCTAACAAGAGCAACAGTTCTATTTTATTGATAATTTACTACATAAGATGCATCATTCTGTGTGTTTCACATGTTTATGCTCACTAATCTTTTAATCTTCACAGAGATTAGGTATCATTAATTTTAGCTCAGTTTTTCTAGTAAATAAATAGAGGAGAAAGATGTTTCTTAAATTCTTTAAATTAGTAAGGGATGGAGCCAAGACTAAAATGCATAATATTGCTTTGAAGACCATAAACTTAATTTTTATTTTGTATTTCTCTGGTAAATTTGGAGTTCTACAAACATAATGTATTTCTCAATATAGAGCTGAATATACTAAGCAAAATATTTTTTCATGTAGTTCCGAGTTGTTTTGAGTATTTTAAGGAAAATATTTAGTAATTAAGAATAAGACTATACATTTTTTTATCTAAAAAAAATGTTTCGAAGTTGTGTTTTGAATGAAAGTTTATAAAGAAAATTGGTTTTCCATTCAACAATTCATATCCACTATGTTTCATGACTTTGGTTACAATCCCTGCATTATATTAACACTCTTCCTACTTTCTCCCAGTATTTCCATTTCCATTTCTTCCTTCTTTTCCATCCCTTCCTGCATTGTTTAATTCTGGAAAAATGCAGTCCTTTTGATCATATGATTGACTGTTCTAAGAACTGTGTTCCTTCTGGATGTTAAAGACTTGTCTGTTACGTGGCTGAAAGTTGATGCATAGAGTAAATTCAGTTCTAGTAAACTCAGTTCTAGGTTTGAAGGGTATCTAAAGGCCATAGAATCAGGGGTTTCACCTGTCTCTATTAGATCAGTCTTGTCATTTTTTTATTTTTGAATCTTGTTCCACACTTTTTTCCAATTCTGTTGGGGACCTACTCCTGTGATCCCTTTTAGAATGATCAAGAATGGTAGTTTGTCATTATCTAGCTCTACTGTTTCCAAGGTTGTGGAATTTTATAGACTAATGTTGTTAGAAAAAAGGCTTCAGGTCTTTGTTCTTCTTAGGGTCACTATGAGTTGTGCTGGATTCTACAGCAATTGACAACAGTAATACTCTTGAGTTGGAACCAACTGATCATTGACCCTCCATTTGGTTTTCAAAGACAGTAAATCACATGGGAGGAGTCTGTTGATCTTTCTCCTGAAGAGTGGGTAGTAGATTCAAACTGCATGTCTTTGGATAGCAGTATGACTCCTTACTACAAACCACCAGAACTCCCTCAAAGTCCAGCAATCTTTGATTTTCTTATCCCCCCCTCCCCACTCTGGAAAAGAAAGCACAATGATTGCAGGTTAGGTGAACATTTATAAGCTCTAAAGATCTCAATCACTACTCTTTAAAATAGAATGTAGAATACTGTCTTTGTGGACTGTCTTATGGCAAGTGACCTTGACCTCCCCCTTGACAAGATTATATTTAATTATTACCTTTGTGTATGCTATTACCCAAAGATTTCACCTGAGATGGGGGAAAATAAAATTATCATTCTATTTTATAAAACAGAAAACACTAATTTAGCTATTGCTTTAGTAGTTCTGATAGTCACCACAGTATAGTCAGATATTAAAGTTAGGAATATATTTAGCAGTTTGTTGGTCCATGTTCTCTGACTAATTTCCAAAGTGCCTTGTATATAGTTTCCCTAAAATAGTTGTCCATATCTACTTAAAGAAACCCAAGAAGGTGAAATTTTCTACTTGTTGGTTAGGTGTTGCTATGTGTCTTAGAGTCACCCACAACTCAGGGAGCCCCTGTGGACAATAGCTCAGATCTCTCTCCTATTCTGAGCCAGTCCTGGGTTGAGGCCCAAGACTCACAGTCTTAGATGAGGCAAATCAGATGGTGAATAAATATGCTGGTTTTGAAAATTCAGCCTCCTTTATTTAGGCCTGTTCAAGTTGTCTTAACAATATTCCTACATTCTCCTAGAGCACAAAAGGAATAGTTTTCTTTCCAAACAAGATAGGGGTTTGGTTTGTTTTATTTCTGTGGTTTTGTTTTGTTTTAGTTTGATTTGGCTTTTTGCTTTAGGTTATGTATGTATTTTGTTCATAATAGAATAAGACACTAATAAATGACTGGCATAATGGAAACTTAATCATTTATTTTGTTTAACTCTTGTCAATTATTAGCTTGTTATTCTGTACTTCAGTGTTATCACTAGTGACTGAGGCCATTAAAATGCATGTGATCACATTATCAATGTCATTAATTCTATAAGCATTCTTCAGTTTTTCCAACATAACAACTTAACGCCTACAGAGAAGAAGAACTATTATTAAAGCTTCAAAGAAAGAATATATGAAACATTGGCTTGTAAAAACTAGAACAATATCTGACGATATTTTGTGGGCATGTCTGTTCTTTATTTCTAGGAAACAACTACATTATTCACCGTAATAGCTGTGAAGTGGAGATAAGCCGTGTAGCCAATCGGATTCTCGATGAGCTAGTCAGACCATTCCAAGAAATTCAGATTGATGATAATGAATATGCTTGTTTGAAGGCAATTGTATTTTTTGACCCAGGTTTGTTTTTAATGTTTCCTAAAGGAAAATGAATAGAATAGAATAAAAATGGAATTTCTTTGTACATGAGACTATTTGCACTCACCCTCTGGTTAGAATAAAACTTTGGATTGTTCATGTTATTCCTCCATTAGATGCAAAAGGTCTCAGTGACCCAGTGAAAATTAAGAACATGCGGTTCCAAGTTCAGATAAGTTTGGAGGACTACATCAACGACCGCCAGTATGACTCCCGAGGAAGGTTTGGAGAGCTGCTTTTGTTGCTGCCCACACTCCAGAGCATAACGTGGCAGATGATTGAGCAAATACAGTTTGTTAAACTTTTTGGGATGGTTAAGATTGACAATCTCCTTCAGGAAATGCTCCTGGGTGGTAAGTACCTCTACCTTTTCCATGTATTTCATTGATTAGCATCACACTAAGTACTTTGCAATAAATTTCATCTATTTCTTTTTTTTCAATGCTAGCTTATTTATAAAATTTGAATAATTGAAAATTCTTTTTTCCAGACCAGATTCTTCCAATTTCTCTCACCCTCCTCACTCATCAAGTTGTCCAACCTCAGGATTACCCTCTTCCCTCGCACGTTCTCATCCCTCTGCTTTTAACCCCCCTTTTGAATCCTCATACTGATTCTACAATAATGATTTTATATAATATTTGTCCTGGTGGTACATCTGGCTTTTCGCCCATCTTTTTTTTTTACCTTTTACAGTTTCTACGTGTATTTTGGCTTTTATCCCCTTCTTGCCTGTTAAGATGAACTTGATCTTTTTAAAATTTAGGAAGTCTTTAAGACACACCAGATGGAGAAAAAAACAAAACAAAACCAAAAACTGAGTCATATATGAAGCTCCAAGTGTATTAGTCTCTATATCATAGTTTCACATAGTTCCCATCATAGTTACTTCCTTCCACTTAGTTCTCCTTACTTTAATTTTCAGATATTTTCAAAAGAAAATAGAAATGCATTAGCTGGCTTGAGGGCTCCTTGCTATACAGAACAAAACAAAACCAAAACCTCCTACTTAATTCTGTCTAAACTCCCTTAGGTTTCCAAGGCTGAAATGACACAGAAGGAGATTGCCTTCATTCTCCCATAGAGCCATTGTTGGCTTTGAACCACCAGAGAAGCATGGCCTTTCAGTTAACAGCATCATCTCTCTATGGACCATGCCTCAAGAGCATTGTATATTGTCTACATCTACATTCCATGCATGTTTATTCCTATGGTTGCACACTGTCTAGTCAGAATCAACTCATAGCTGACCTCCAGCAGGCTTTGAGAGGCAGTTAATCACATGGGAAAAGAGTGCCCATCCCTCTCTACAGAGCAGCTGGTGGATTCAAACTATGTACCTTTGGGTTCCCAGCACAACTCCTTACTATATGTAAGTATATATACTTATACTATAGATAGGGATCACTGGTACAGAGCCTCAATGGTATACAACATAACAATATACTATCTATCTCTATCTCTATCCCTATCTCTATCTCTATCATCTCTATCTCTATCTCTATCTATCTACATCTATATCTATATACCTGAGCATATATAATATTTAGGCCCGTGTTCCTTAAGGATTCTGTAATTTAAAAATAACCCTAAAAATATGTTAAATATCTTAGACAGTAATCACTTTACTTCTGAATAATGAGTGGACACAATAGACTGAATGAAAGAGAAATGAGATTTAAGATGTTCTGCAATTACATATCAGGAATAAGTGAAGTAATTATTTTGTGTTTGAATTGAAATGAAATTTCCTTGGAAAATAATCTTGGTTTTACTTTTCTTGTTCTTAATATGTTCCTAATAATATCCTTTTAAAATAAAAGTTGTGTGCTCTATTAGGATGATCCCAAGTGCTATAAACTTGAGGTAAATGATTCTAGGAATTGCCTTATTATGGGCAACAAACCTAATGATTCCAGGAAACATCACACAAAGATCCATTATTAATATTCAGCATAATATGGCACAGCATTAATCTAGCCAATATACAGTGAAAGCTGACATTATCCTTAAAATGCTAGTGGTTCTATTACTTTACTTCTGAATTCCCAAAAGGCACTTTACAAAAATAGCCATTTTCAGGCTGCCAACCAAAGTATTTATCCTGAGGTAAATGTGCTTTTCCTGATTAAGTAACACTAACAAGCATCTCTATGTCATTTGTAGGTGCTTCCAATGATGTAAGCCATCTCCATCATCCAATGCATCCACATTTGTCTCAAGATCCATTAACTGGACAGACTATACTTATAAGTTCCATGTCAACACTTGCTCATCCAGACCAAATCTGTGAGTATTTCTCCACAATACTATTTCTTACATTTATTTACCTGAGAAAAACAGAATTTAAGGAAATGCTATTAGTTCAGTGTGGTACTTAATACATCACTTATTCTCCTTACACCTGTATTTTTCCTTTTTTAAAGTGCAAGTACGAGTAACTAAAACATTTTTTTTCATAGGTTTCAGTATCACAAAAGAACATGCAGGCCATCTTTGCTTTGCATGGATGGCACTATGGCACCATTAAAATGGTTGAGTAGGATGAAACCATGCAGGGCAATCTTAAGAATAAGAGTGAATATTGTGATTGCTTGTGACCTTTACCATGTTATCAAAACATAAAAGAAAAAAATTCTCCTCCTATTGGTCATAAGTATATGATGCTTACATACTTATAGTATCAACATATAGTTGATTCCAACTGTTAGCAACCCTATCTCTATGACAAAGTAGGAATACCCCATACGAGCTTCCTAAGCTGTAATCTTTACAGAAGATAATCAAGAATTCCTTTACTATGAAGTTGCAGTTGAGTTCAAACCACTAACTTTTGGTCAGCAGCTAACTATTTTAACAAATTAGTGCATGATACATAAAACAGTATAAGCTTTGAGAAAGAAAAGATTTTATTTCTTTGTCAAATACACACACACACACACACACACACACACACACACGATACCAATCCAGTATCTTTTCAATGCTTTAGTGAATTTTATTCCTTTTGATGTTTAAATTAGCTTTCAACATTCTACAATTTGAATATTTGACTGGTCTCACTTCCTCTGGGGCATCTTTATTCCTTTTATCATAGTCAACTTCCTTATTTTTGCTCACAGGTTTGCCTTCACTAAACTCCTAGAGAGGATTGCATGTTTAAAGTGACGTTTCCATCATCAATGATTTTTTCTATGCCTCCATTTACCTTGAATGGAAATGTCACTACCAGTGTTAGCACTTGTTTCTTTGCTGCACTTTTATAGTTGCTAAGCAATTTTTCTTCAAGTACTCATTCTGGTAAATTGCTAAAGAGGTGTGTCTCTGGGAGACAAAGAAGCAACACAGCTACACATTTGATGTCAGTGTTTGACTTGGAAAACAGATACAGAGATTTTGAAAGACGAGACCTAGCTGGTCACTGCTCATAACCTACCCTCTTATTAGATAGTGGCTTGTACACTGAAGAGCTAGTAGTAAAGTTTGCACTTAGTATAATTACTGGTTACTAACAAGTCAATTCCAACTGGGATTAGCCTCATTTGTTTCAGAGTAGAACTACAATCCCATGACTCACGATGACTATGAATGAGCACATGAATGATTATGAGCTTTTGGAGGTCAGGCGCCACTCCCTTCTTCTGAAGGGAGTCTGGATGAATAAAATTATGAACTTTTACTTTAGGCAAACACTTAACTGTTTGGGCTATCAAAACGCTCTGCTTCATTAATTTACTCATAGTTACTATATCCTGACAAGAGCTCTGGTTGCCCAATGGGTAGGCAGCCCCTTTCTTATGGTTCAAATCTACCAGAAGCTCTGGAGGGAGAAAGTTGGGCAGTATCCTCCCATGCAATATACAGCCTCAGAAACTCTCTGGAGAGTCAGCTATGAGTTGGTTCTGATTCCACAGCTATGTTAATAAGAACTATGCAACACTGAGGATGTTCTATACTGTAAAACCACTTTGGAATCGAAATAATGATCTTATTCCAGAAAACTCTATTGGCTTCAAGACTACTATTGGGGATATCTGACAAAATATCTACAACTACTTGTTTCTTAATATATACTAACAAATACTGACAGTATATCTAGAATTATTTGTTTCTTAATTTATACTAATTAATCTAACCTAAGAAATTAAATTACCTAATAAATTAAGGTAGAGGGTCAGCGAAGGAGAGGAAGACCCTTGACCAGGTGGATTGGCATGGTGACTGCCGCAATGGGCTTTTGTGTGTCAGGAAGTGAGAGGACGGTACAGGGTAGATAGGATTCAGATCTGTTGTTCATAGGGTCGCTATGGGTCATACTCAACTTGATGGCACCTAACAACAATCTTAGATTTACTTTTGAACTGTTGCCTTTGAAAACCTAATGAGCCCATTCACTAAGATGACTTGGGTTATTGTACTTCAATTATTGTGTATAACTGAAATTATCCATTGAACCTAAAATAGTTCTTAATAGTCCTAAAAGGTGCCCTGGTGATTCATACTTAAAGAGCTCTTCTGCTAACTAAAAAGTTGGCAGTTCAAACCCCCCAAACTACTCCACAGGAAGGAAAAAGATCTGGCGGTCTGATCCTATAATGACTCAGCTAGGAAACTCTATGCGTCTATGGAGCGGTATCACTCTGTCACTATTAGTCCAAATCCAATCAACAGCACCTGTCAATAGCTAATTCTAATGCTATTGTACCACAGGATTCAATGGAGCGCAACAAGAATTTAGTGAGAACATGCGACGGAAAGTGTAAACAACAAGAATGCACATTATCCTCTCTTTTATATTAAAAGGATTAATAAATCCTTGTGTAAATTGTGCTTGAAAATAAAGTTCTTTGGGTCTGAAATTGCTGGAAAAAATAGAAAGTATGGCAATAGTAATGAATATTTAGGCTGTGGATTCCAGTGTACTTGAGACATTCATCTGGACCCTTCATTTTACCAAATAAATGTTATCCTCTCCTTTTAATCCATAGTCAAGATAGAGACTGAATCAAGACCAAGAGCACAACAGCTATAGCTCAATGAGTTTTGTCTCTTAATGATTAGTTACTCATAAACTCAGAAAATAGCACATATTAACAGCACATTAAGTGAAAGACATCAACTTGCAAGACAGTTTAGGAATTCTGCTGGTAGTTGAATCTTTTTTTTTTTTTTAAAGTAGCTTTCGGTATTTTAAAGTCATTTGTTGACACAATCTTATAAAGAATTATCACACTTTATTTTAGGGTTTTATTTCCTTTTGAAAGCAATGCTGCTTTTTAAATTTGAAAGTATTGAGAATCAATCCTGGGAGAGCTCTAACCTCACAGCCTTGGAGTTCCAAACAAGTGTTTGCAGGGCCACGCTGGAGTGCCCGGGGAGGAGGCAAGCTGAAGTGGAACCTAGGGTGCCCCTCGATCCCTTATGTCTACCCCTGAAAATACACTGGCACTGAGTGAAAAAAATTTTTTTGAAAGTGTTATATTTATACACGACATAAACTAAATAAGAAAATTTAGATATGTAATTATTAAGTTCATGCATATTTTCTTTGTCTTTCAGAAATACTATCACAGCTTTAGATCTATCCTAAATATACAAAAATAATTTGAAAGAAAATTTGTATTCATTTGTTGATTAAACAACCAAAATGTTGTTTCTATATTAGCAATAAGTAATTTTGAATCCACACTTATCAATCAATAATATAGAAATATATACAAAGAAAATCAAGCAAAAGGAGATTTTTCTTATTTTGTAGGAAAGATTTTTAAAACTACTTCAAAATTTTTATTAACTATCAAATTTGCAGTACTTTGGTCTCATAATCAAAATTTTCTATTTATTAAGTTCTCTTTTATATAATACACTTACCTATCCTTCTGTCTATCTATCTGTTATTAGTTCCATTAGATATAATATGCAAAAGAACCAATAAAGAGAATATGTATATGACATAATTAATGAAATAAAAATATTTCAAGATAATTAAAAATACAGAATAGTACTTAGATGATTATATGAATCTCAGTATTTTACAATAGCAAAATGTCCTGTCTTAAGTAAAGAAGAATAATCTTTATATTAGTGGAGGTGGGACAGGCAGACAAAATAATAGGTAGAATAATTGAAAAATGGGGAAGTCCTCAGTTTTCAGAAGCCTCTTAGTACGATGTAGACATAAAAGCATTTAAGAAGTAGCTTAATCTTCAATAACAATGTCTCTTATATCTGAATTGTTGGAGCCCAAACCAAATGTGTTTTATTTTAAGTGCATTTCTTGATGAAAACAATTAGAAAGTTTGTTTTCTAAAACTTGGGGAAACTATCATTCTGTTAATTAATTTGATTAATTTCTTTCTGCTGTAACTTAAAGATAATTAAATGTACACAAATTCTATTAAGAAAAGCAGATTATACTTTCAAATGTATATTAAAATTCTGAGTCATGATCTATCCCAGTTTAAAACTAAGTGGGGAAGTAACACAGGAGCGCAGTGCCAAGAGAATGTCCACGGGGAGGTGCTCAAGTTTACAAATGACACGTTAAATAGGACTTTGTAGAAACATTTACAAAGTAGAGTAACATATATTGGGTTTATGGGGATTCCTGGGGTCAGGTTGATTTTTGTCCTCTCAGATAATTCTCTTTCTTTTTCAGCAACTCCTGAAACCCCACTCCCATCCCCACCACAAGGCTCTGGACAAGAACAGTACAAAATAACTGCAAACCAAGCTTCAGTCATTTCACACCAGTCTCTCTCTAAACAAAAGCAATTGTGAAAATATGTTTACATCACAACAGCATTGCTCAAATGTGAAAAAAAAATGCTGGTTTTTAAATATCTCAGGATAGTACTTTTGAGAAGTTCGTAGACAACGCTACTCCCTGGTGCTATTATAAGAGGATATCATATTTTCTTGTTTATATGCTTATTTTGTTGTGTTGTTGCTGTTGTTTTTATTGTTTGAAACCTTCAAAAGATAGCATTGTATGTCCGAGTTTGGATATGTTCATATTCTGTCTTTCCCTCCTATTGACTTTGCACTATAACTGAGCCAGATGAATCTTATGTATACTTCTATTTGTTGTCTTTTTATTTAAATCTGTAAATAATTGCTTTATCATGGTGTGATGCAGAACTAAGTGTCCTTTTACCCCCTGTCTGAAAATAGCAGATGAGAAATGTCAGGTTAATATAAAATGAACCAAAGTCTTACAAATCATGAACTTGCAGATCAGAAAAATAAAGGCGGCAGTTGTTGTTGCACAGTATGTACTTTTTTGCAAATGCACTAGTAATATGTGCATTCTGTAGCCAAGATTGAATTCTTTGGCCAACACTAAATATGCCTATTTTAGTTGAGAAAACTATACAGAGCTGCTTCAAGGATGAATTAATATTTCTTGAGACCGAACTGTATTTGAAAAACTCAGCTAAGATCTTAATATGTTTTAAGAGGTAGGATATAGATTTAACTACAGTAACAAAGAAATCCCTAAAGTGGTAGGTTAAGTCAGAAAGATGTATATTTTATACTCTATTGAAATAATGTAGAAGTAGATTTCTCATTGACTTGACTTGACTTCATGCCCTCATCCAACTCCGAGGGCAATTTTCAATGGAAAGTCTATGCCAATTAAAACTCTGGGATATCCTAAAATTCTAGGATAGTCAGAATTGGAAGACTATTATCAGTCATCATTTTAGTGATTGGCCACACTTGTTGCCTTATTTAATCTTCACAGTTGCCACACTTGTTGCCTTATTTAATCTTCACAGTGAGAGAGCTAATATATCTCTGTCTCTCTCTCTCTTTAGTCTCTGATAAAGAGACTTTAAGCATACAAGTTTAACAGAAAACTAGAAATACAGATAGGTAGAGAGCTACATTCAAGTCAAGGTCTAGTGCTATAAATGGGAGTAACTTCTTATTTCAGAATGAAATCTTTGTGCTTCTTGCTGTTTTAAAAATATTTTTAATTGAATAATGATATTGGGTACTATTTCATTATAAACAATGTATTTTCACATATAAGAGATGAATGTAAAATTGTTTTATCATGAATTAATTTAAAAAAATCCTCCATTCTCTCAATAGTCTTTTTCTAAAATCTTAAAACAAATTAAGAAAGAGATTTTTTAAAAATACATGTACAAGACAGGATGTTGTAAAAATAAATAAAATCAATGAAGAGTATATATATATATATATATATATATATATATGATTTCTGAAAGCAAAGAAATACACTAGATGCATAATTCCAGAAACTGAGGAGTTTAATTCATTGGCTATCTGAACCACTTGATATCATCTAGGATGAAACATATTTTAAAACAATGAAGCATTGTCTCATGACACTATGACTTCCTTCTCTCTCTGTGCTTGCTAAAGCAGGAAAAAATAAGTTGATATTTGAAGCAGGAGTTAATTGACTATTTGCAAAGTACTGAAAAGAGTACTGGAGACTAAGGTGTGCCTGATACAGGCCATGGTCTTTGCAATTCCTTGCTATGCATCAGAGAGCTGGATAATGACTAGGGATGACAGAAGGAGAATTGATGTCTTTTTACCTGTGGTGCTGGAGAAGAGTATTGAACATACCATGCACTGTTAGGAGAACAAACAAGTTCATCCTAGAGAGGGTGAAATTGGGCTGCTCCTTCGAGGCAAGATCTGAAGCTTTGTCTGACATACTTTGGACATGCTGCACGGCGGGATCAGTCCTTGGAGAGTGACATCATGCTTGGGTGAGTGGAGGGATGGCACAGGAGAGGAAAACCCTCAATGAGATGGATTGATTTGATCACTGGGGTAATTTATCTACTTGTATTTAAAACTGTGTTTTAGAAATTATTATTAATGATTTTGTTTTGATAACTATGGCCAGGATTTTTATAATATTTTTATATACTAAGCTGCCAAGAAAATGCTGGACAAGAAAAATTGATGGTTTCAGCATATTTTCAACATTTTGATAAGGGAAGTTATTGCTTTTAAATAGTACAAAACTTTTTTCAGCTAATAAAAATTTATAATTTATTGTGAAGTTATGATTTATTTTATAAATGTAAAATTATTTTTTATAAATTTCCTTGTTGAAAATCAGAATAACTAGATTATAAATGTTAAATTATAGTGAGATGAAAATATTTCTAAACTGTGGTACTATGTTATTTCACTGAATTTCTAAATAAAAATTGAAGAAAAAATAAAATGATTGTAGGATGCTTCATTAGTATTTGAAAATGATTTCATAATTTTAGAAATGTAGATATTGTATACATATTCATATAATTATATTTATACAGCTTTCCCTAATATTGTTCTTCAGAGGTCAGACCAAAACTAATTAATACATTTCAAAATACAGAATCAAACATTTACATTTTAATTATTTTGTGTTTCTGAATCTTTAGTCAACATGACCCAAGTTGGCTTCACTACTGTATATCATTTCTTTGGCATTTGACCTTTTAACCTAGACACCTTAATTGTTGATGTCTTCTTTTCAATTTTAAAGATTCTCTGCAAACTTCTTATAGTTTGACTTATAAATCTTATTTTTATAGACTTGGACTTTATGTTTTGTTTTATTATTATCAAGATAATATGTGTACATCATTAAAAAAACTAAGTCTCACTTTGAATGTCTTATATTGATACATAACGTCGTTAATCTGGTCTCTCCTTTCCTCATTTAGTCATGCCTATACTAACTCAATACACACTCACCTCATTGCCCTAGAGTTGGAACTTATTCATAGCCAACCCCCTAGCATGTTTTCAGAGAAAATAACTTGCTTAAGAAGTGGTTTCCCATCTTTCTCAAATATTGCACCTCTTTAACTTTGGGCAAGGTGGATGGAGGTTACCATATCTTTATGGAATTACTGAAAAGGAAGTTGCACATTTTCATCAGCATCTGATTTGGGTAGAGTAAGTGTTTGAGCAGTGGTTGTACATCTACAGAAATGTTACATTCTTTGAATGATTGAAAGAGGGAGTTTCATGAAGAACAATCACAAACTTATTCTAGGACAAGTGGATCATTTTTTATGCATACACAGTGAGTCTAGCTAGGTTAGTTCCAGTTGGTTTTAACCAGGTTCTTTTTGACAGCTGTTAGGGCTAGAAAATACATTTTAAGGAGGTTAAGTACACTTTGGTGAGGGGAAAGGATGGCTGAATAAGTGCAGATCCTCTACTTTGGTATTGGTTATCTACTATTAACAATTTTCACTATTGTCAAAATCATATGTGTGCCTCATGTGTTTGTCTTGAGAAAGATAAACTGATGTATAACCAGGAGAGAGGTAGGTGCTTTCAGGTGAATTTCTCATTTTAGAGCCCTAACTCTGGTGGCCTTGTGGCAAGAAGCTATGCTGTAATCCCAAAGGCACACAGTTTGAGGTCACCAGCTGCTCTCCTCCTGTGCAATTAACTGCCTCTGAAAACCCTCTGGAGGGTCAGCTATGGGTTGGTTCCAGCTCTGTGGTACACAACAAGTGTGGACTTAGGATCTGAAGGCTTTCTTAAGGCATCCCTGGAAATGAAAAGGCGAGGAAAAAACAGGGTTGCATTTGTGGTTAAAAGACTATTTCTAAATCCATCTTGAAATAAAATGTGAGTGACAAAATAATATCTATATGCTTACAAGAAAGACCTATTAATACTACTATCATTCAAATATATGCATGAACAACCAGAGCCAAAAAGGAGGAAAGAAATGATCTCTATACCAACTTTTGCTGTAAAAAATACATTCAACATAAAACCAGGATGTTGTTGTTATGTGCCATTGAATCGCTTGTGACTCATAACGACCCTATGTACAGCAAGTCTGAACCCTGCTTTGTGTGTGCCAACCATATTGTCTCTGACACACTTATCCCCCCATCCCCCCAGGCACTGAATCAATCTATCTCATAGAAGATCTTACATCAATAATAATGGATGACTGGAATTGGGAAGAATTGGGAACAGAGAAAAAAGATCAGTAGTTGGAAAAACATGGAGTTGGTGGCATAAACGAGGCTGGAGATAGAATGACAGAATTTTGTACCATCAATTATTTATTCATTGCAAACACCTTTCATAAAAACACAAATGACAACTATACAACTATACACATGGGCCTTACCCGACAGGCTGCATAGTAATCAGACTGATTATATCTGTGGAAAGAAACTACCAGCTGTGAATACTAGGCCAGATACTGATTGTAGAACAATAAACTACTCATGTGCAAGTTCAAGCTGAAGCTAAAAAAAATAAAAATAAAAAAAGTAAGCAAAGCCACAATAACCAAAATATGAACTTGATGCTTTCCCACCTGAATTTAAAAACTATTTCAGGAACAGATTTGAGGCCTTGAACACTAATGAACAAAGAAGACCAGATGAGCTGTGGGAAGATATTAAGAATATCACCCATTAAAATTGTAAAACGTCATTACAAAGACAAATAAGGAACAAAAGACCAAGACAGATGGCAGAAGAACTCTTGAGTATTGCATTAGGACACCAAAACACAAAGCACAGGGAAGATATTAGGCAATTAAGGAGCTGAACGAAAGATTTCAGAGGAAAGCTCAGGAAGACAAAGTATTATAATGAAATGTGCAAAGGGGCTGGAGTCAGAAAATCAAAAGGGACAGACTCACTCGACATTACTTTTTTTAATTTTTTAAAAAATTCCTTTATTTTTATTATTATTCATTTCAGTGAACATCTACAGAGATTTTGGAATTCCATTCATTCATTGTTGCACTTTTCTCCCCACCCACCCCCCCCCCACCCCCAGTTCACATCTCTCCTTAAGAAGCAAAAGACAAACTCCTTCATTGTTACACAATTCCCGCCCCTACCCCG